TTACTTCACAAAAGCCCAGATGGTTTCACGGGGGAATTCTATGAAACCTTCAAACACCAAAGGGTCACAAGGGTACATAAATTGTTTCCGAGCATAGACAGTAAAAAAAAAAACAAAATGCACCCCCTTGCTTCTAAATTCTTTTTATGAAGCAAGTATGACATTGATACCTGAACTTGACAAAGACAGGATTTAAAAAGATTTCAGATTAATATTACTTACCAATATTGATGCAAATAAATATTAGCTAACAGACTCCATCACCATGTTAGAATTATACACTATGACCAAGTGGAAGTTATTGTAGGAATGTGAAGTGGGTTCTAGGAAAACTAATAATATACTATATTAATAGATATAAGAGAGAAAGATCATGTGATTGTTTTCATAGATGCTGAGAAAAGCCTTTAAGGAAGTTCAACACCCATTCCTGATAGGAACACTCAAGAAAAGAGGAATTGATGAATACTTTAATATGATAAAATTTAGTATACACCTTTTCAAAACCCATCGTCTTACTTCGTAAGGAAAGACTTAGTCCCATTAAGATCAGGAACGAGGCAAGGATACCCACTGTCGCCACTATTTACTTAACATCGTGCTGGAGGTATTAGCCAATGCGGTAAGACAAGAAGAGGATCAACTAGAGGGAAAAGCCTTGGAAAAGAAGTTAAGCTATGTTTGTAGATGACATAGTATGCTAAAAATGCTAGAGAATGCATGATAAAATTGAGACAATAATTAGGGAACAGGATATGAAATTAATATATAGAAAATCTTCATATACACAAACAATAACCAATTATATTATGGTAGCATAAAAACTCCTTTTATATAGCAACAAAGACGATAAAATATCTAGTAATAAACTTATAGGGAAAATTGAAAAACATCTGAAAAACACAAAAGTAGTCTTGAGTAAATGGAGAGACATCCCTTGTTGCTGAATATTGGATTAACATCATAAAAATATCAATTCTTCCTAAGTTAGTTTATAAATGTAACGTAGTCTCAAACAAAATTTTAAAAATAGAACTAGGCAAATTTATACAAAAGTTTATATGGATTAACCTCAACTTGTTTTTATTTATTTATTTATTTTTAAATTTTATTTATTTATTTTTCCCCCCAAAGCCCCAGTAGATAGTTGTGTGTCACAGCTGCACATCCCTCTAGTTGCTGCATGTGGGACGCGGCCTCAGCGTGGCCGGAGAAGCGGTGCATCGGTGGGAGCCCGGGATCCGAACCCAGGCCACCAGTAGCGGAGCGCGCGCACTTAACTGCTAAGCCACGGGGCCGGCCCTCAACTTGTTTTTAAACTAGATTGCTTTAAAAAGGACTAAAAGTTTCCCTTAAGTTTAAAAAAAAAAAAGTTCATATGGAAAAATAGAAGAGTAGAAATAGCTAGGAATAGACCACAACACAAAAGCTATGGCCGTATTGTATATTCAAGCATACTGTAGTTAAAACTGTGTGGTACTGGCACATAAATAGATCAGTGGAATAGAACAGAAAAGCTAGAAGTTGATTCAAGTACTTATAGAATGCAGGTGCATGTAATACAGGTATTATCTCAAATTCAAGGGGCAAAGATTAGCTTTTTATTTATTTTATTTTTTTATTTTTAATTTTTTTGTGAGGAAGATCAGCCCTGAGGTAACATCCATGCCAATCCTCCTCTTTTTTCTGAGGAAGACTGGCCCTGAGCTAACATCTGTGCCCATCTTCCTCTACTTTATGTGGGACGCCGCCACAGCATCGCCTGACAAGTGCTGCCTCCGTGCACACCCAGGATCCGAACCCGGGCCGCCAGCAGCAGAGTGTGCACACTTAACCACTACGCCATGGGGCTGGCCCCGATTAGCTTTTTAATAAATGGTACTGGACAACTGGGTAGCTGGTGAGGAAAATGTAAAATTAGATCTGTACATTATACCATAAACAAAAATAAACTACAAATAGAGAACTAAATATAATAAGTGAATCCATATAAGCACTAAAAGAAAGAATAGATGAATTTCTCTGTAACTTTAGGGGAAGGGAAAGAAAAGACTTTGAACTATGACTCAAAATCCAGTTTCAGTTAAAAAAAATTGATAAATTTGACTATGTAAAAAATTTAAAAATTCCGCTCTGCATAGCATAAAACTAAACAAAGTCAAAAGATAACCAGCAAACTGGGAGAAAATATTTGCAACATATATCACAAAGAACTCATATCTCTAATGTGTAAATAATTCTTTAAAACTGAGGGAATAAAGACCAAAATTGATAGAAAAGTAGGCAAAAAACATAGATAACTCACAAAAATATAAAATGGACCTTAAACATATGGAAAGATGCTCAACTTGACTCATAATGGTAGAAATGTAGATGAAAATTACATTGAGTTATCATGTCTCATCTGTCAGATTGACAAAAAAAAAAGCTTAAACACTTCCCACTGGTAAGTCTGTGGAGCAACAGACGCTCTCGTATGTTGCTGGTAGGGGGATATGGTAGTACCTAAGACTAAATAAGCATTGACACTTTGACCCAGCAGTCCCACTTCTAGGATTTATCCTGGAGATACACTTTCCACCATATAAAATTATAGATGCACAAAGTTACTGTTACATTGTTATTTGTAATTGCAAAATATTCTAAACAACTTGAATATAAGTTTTAAAATAATGTAAACAAAGATTAGTTAAATAAACTCTGGTGCCCCCAATAGAGTACTATGCAGGAGTGAAAAAGAGTGAGATCTCTGAGAACTGATATGGAGTGATTCTCAGGAAATAATATTCAGTGAAGAAACTCAAAGTGCAAAAGAGTATCTGTAGTATGTTACTTTCCATCTAAGAAGGGGGAATTAAAACGATATGAATGTATCTGCTCATTTCTGCACCACACATGAAAGATAAATCCGAAAATAATGAGATTAATAACAAGGTGAGTGGAAGGGGTGGGGGAGTGACACTATCAAACTATATTAATAAGTTTACATATTAAAAAAATGAAAGACGGAGGGAGAACCTTTAAATGAAATAAAAACAAATGAACCTGTGTTTCAAATGAGTAACTTTCAGACACAGTATTTTGACTATATACCTTTAGTCTAAAGACAGAAATAGTTGTAAAGAAATACTGAATTTTAGTTACGTTTGTTTTGTTTGCAGTCATAGGGGTTAGCAAATCTGAAACTATTTTCTCTGTATTTGAGAATTGAATAAATAAATAAATACATTTTGAGGATAATGGGAATCAGATGTCCACTCCAGGAGAAAGGAGTTATGAATATGGAAAAGGGGAAAACTAGAATGTATCCTGTAGTTGAATTGGACTAGAATTGGAGTTATCAGTATGAACTCATGGTTTTCATATTACTTTTAGAAATAAGTTTGTGTCTGCGGATTTCCTAGTTCCTTCCTCTGGGACAGCTTCTTAGATGCAGACCCACACCCATACCCATACCCATTCTCCCTAAAAGGAACTTGGGCCCCTTGGAGAAATGGCTCATCACAGTCTTGAGGCAGGAAAAAATAAAAGATGAACCTGAAAGTAAGGTCATTCCAGCATGTAAGATAGGGCTCAAAGAATGATGGAGAAACATCAAAAGACCATAGGAGCCACCTTGAATGAGCTTGCACTGGCAAATATAGGACAATTTGAACATAAAATAATGATGGTAAAAGATTACAATCTACATAATAAAACAAGAATCCATAAGGTCATACTTGTGGATGATATAAGTAAGTAAATGAGAAAGGCAAAGACCTTTCTGACGGTAGAATGTGACTAATAAATGGAGAAGGAAGCGTGGAGTTAGAGAAATCACTGTTTGGCAACTAGCATGGCGGTAATTGGGTCAGGCAAGAATCATCAATGAATATTAAACTAGTGGGTGAAAGTTTGATGAAGAATAGGATTTTTATGTAGTTGCAAAATATTTCCCCACAAAATACTTATTAATTACAAATGGAAAAATAGTAACTCTAGAGGGAAGAAACCTGGCATATATCACCACCATTAATGGACAAATCGACGTCATGTGCTCTTGATGTGATTCACTGAGAGGGTCATTTCTGTGATACTTGGCCAAAAATGCCTAACCTGAAATTAAACATGAAGAAACATTAAACCCAAATAGATGGCAAATAACCAATCTGTGGAAAGATGTCATGATCATGAGAGACAAAGACTGAGGGAAACAAAGTAAAGGAGGCTAAAGAGACATGACCATTAAAAACACTAGGTGATCTTGAGTCAGAGTCTAGGACCAGAGTTTTGTTGCTATAAAGGATGAGATTGGAATAACTAAATAATATATGAGGTTTTTTAATAATTAAATAAAGTTTTATAATAGATAATAGTGTTAATTTCCTGATTTTGATAATATCACTGCAGTCATGAAATAGAATGTCCTTGTTGTTAGGAGATACACGCCAAGGAACTTAGAGGTAAAGAAGCGTCATGTCTGTAACTTACTCTCAAATGGTTCAGGAAAAAAAGTGTGTGTATATGTATCTGTGGAGAGAGAGAATGTATGTATGCATACACACACATAAATATAGAGAGAGAGATTGAGAGAGAAAGGGGGTAGGCAGGTAGGAAGGGAGAAGGAACGATAAAGCTTGTGTGGTAAAATGTTAATAAATGGGGAATGTGGGTGAAGGATATATAAAATTTTTTGTAGAACTTTTTGGGAAATTTTTATGTAAGTTTGAAATGATTTCAAAATAAGGTAAAAAAATATAATAAATAATGCCAAATTCAAATAGAACCTTTAAACAAGGGAGCGCTGGTTTATCCTCCCCAGCAGAGTGCAAGAAGGCTTTCTCCTCCAGCAGGGAGGAGGTGGTGTCTCTCTGCCTGTTGTTGTGCTTCCTCGGAGAACCTGCGGTGGTGTGGGAGCTAACCAGCCCTGTAATTCTGTAATCTCAATGTCTGTAATTCTGTAACATAATCATATCTTGTTCTTTATCATTTTGAGCTCAGGAGTAAATTTATCCCTGCAGGTTGTTGATGAACGAGAATTTTTTGAGATCATGCCCAATTATGCCAAGAACATCATTGTTGGTTTTGCAAGAATGAACGGGAGGACTGTTGGAATTGTTGGCAACCAACCTAAGGTGGCTTCAGGTAGGAGGGAGCAGCTCTTATAAACGTTGGGTGGTGGTTGGGGGCCAGGGCTGCCTGGGCCCACCATGTCTGCCTCTGCCTTCTCCTCAGACGAGGCCTTCCATGGCCAGCAAAAATCCCTCCAATAGATGTTGATGTAAAAGCTCCTTTCTCTTTTAATGTTAATTTCTCAAAATGCTTCTTTCATACTTCCCTATTTTTTCAGAGTTTATAGATAACTTTCCTCCTCAGCTTATACGGTCTTTACTTTTTCAGAGGTCTGCTTTCTGTCCTCTCTAGTTAGATTTATGACTCCACCACTGAACTGTGAGCTCCACGAGCGCAGGAGTGGTAGTGTCTTATTCACAGTTTATCTCCAGAGCCTTCAGTGGTGCCAGGTACATAGTTGGTGCATGACAAGTTAACAGCATCCTGCTGTGTCTGTGCCCCACAGCTTTCTGGTGATGTGACCAGACCTGAGTCACAGCCAGGGTGGGGACTCTTCCATGGCTGTGCTCTGAGTGGGGTGGGGACTGTGGGCACTGTGTTCCGCCTCACTATTTTCCTCCTTAGATTGTTTTGAATCCCTGTGTAGGATGAATATGCCCTCCCTTATTGACTCAGCTCCATCTTTTATTTCTGCCATGGCCATTTTTATGGGTCTTTAGAAAAGTAAATAAATATTTTTTACTGTGGTAAAATATATATAAATATTTTTTACTGTGGTAGAATATATATAACGTAAAATTTGCCATTTTAACCATTTTTAAGTGTATAATGCAGTGGCATTGATTACATTCACACTGTATGCAGCCATTACCACTATCTATTTCCAAAAAATTTTCAAATAACCCCACATAGAGACTCCTTTCCACTCTACCCCCAGCCCTTGGTAATCTAAGTCTACTCTGTCTCTGAATTTACCTATTCTAGATATTCCATATAAGTGGAATTGTACAGTATCTGTCTTATTTCACTTAGAAAACTGGTTTCAAGGTTCATCCATGTTGTAGCATGTATCAAAACTTCATTTTAACTTTTCATGGCTGAATAATGTTCCATTGCATGTCTATACCACATTTTGTTTAATCATTCATCTGTTGATGGACACTTGGGTTGTTTCCATTTTTTGGTTGTTTCAGATAATGCCACAGTGAACATTGGTGTACAAGTATCTGTTTGAATCCTTGTTTTCAGTTCTTTTGGGTATATACCTAGAAGTGGAATTACTGAGTCATGTGGTAATTTTATGTACATTTTTTTGAGGAAACACTACTGTTTTCCACAGCGGCTACACCATTTTACAATCCCCGCTAGCAATGCACAAAGGTTCCAATTTCTTTCCACTCTCTCCAACACTTGTTATTTTCTGGTATGTTTTGATAATAGCCATCCTATTGGGTGTGAAATATTGTCTCATTGTGGTTTTCATTTATGTTTCCTTAATGATTAGTGATGCTGAGCATCTTTTCATGTGCTTATTGGCCATTTGTATATCTTTGGAGAAATGTCTTTTCAAATCCTATGCCTGTTTTTAATTATTTGGCGTTTTTTGTTGTTGAGTTGTAGAAGTTCTTTATATATTCAGGGTATTAAACTCTTATCAGGTATATGATTTACAAATATTTTCTCCCATTCTGTGGGTTATCTTTTCACTTTTTTTCTTTTCTTTTTTTATTTTTGAGGAAGATTGGCCCTGAGCTAACATCTGTGAACTTAACTGTGTCACCGGGCTGGCCCCTGTCTTTTCACTTTCTTAATAATGCCATTTGATGCACAAAAGTTTTAAAATTTGATGAAGTTCAACTTCTCTCTCCTTTGTTTTTTGGTTGCTTGTGTTTTTGGAGTCATATCTAAGAGCCTATTGCCAAATCCAATGTCATGAAGCTTTCTACCTATGTTTTCTTTTAGGAATTTTATGCTTTTAGCTTTTTCTTTTAGGTTTGATCAATTTTTTTTTGTGAGAAAGATTGGCCCTGAGCTAACGTCTGTTGCCAATCTTCTTTTTTTTTCTTTTTTCTCCCCAAAGCCCCAGTACATAGTTGTGTATCATAGTTGTAGAGTCGTAGCTCTTCTACGTGGGATGCTGCCTGAGCATGGTTTGATGAACGGTGAGTAGGTCTGCACCTAGGATCTGAACTGGCGAACCCCGGGGCCGCTGAAGCAGAACACGTGAACTTAAACCACTATGTCACCGGGCTGGCCCCTAGGTTTGATCAATTTTGAGTTGATTTTTATATATGGTGTGAGTTAGGGGTCCAGCTTCATTCTTTTGCATACGGGAGTTCAGTTATCCCAGTACCATTTGTTGAATGGAATATTCTTTCCCTGTTGAATGGACTTGGCATCCTTGTTGAAAATCAGTGGGCTGCAGACATATGGATTTATTTCTGGACTCAATACTATTCCATTGGTCTATATGTTTTTGGTCTATATGTTTATCCATATGCTAGTACCACACTGTTTTGATTACTGCAGCTTTGTAGTAAGTTTTAATATTGGGAAGTGTGAGTCTTTTCACATTGTTCTTTTTTTTCAAGATTGTTTGGCTCTTTGGGGCCCCTTGCAATTCCATATGAATTTGAGTATTGGCTTTTCCATTTCTGCAAAAAATAGGCTGTTGGAATTTTGATAGGGATTGCGTTGAATCTGTAGATCACTTTAGGTAGTATTGACATCTTAACAACATTAAGTCTTCTGATCTATGAACACAGATGTCTTTCCGTTTATTTTGGTGTTCTTTTATTTCTTGCAGCAGTGTTTCATAGTTTTTAGTGTACAAGTCTTTCACCTCTTGGTTAAATTTGCTCCTAAGTGTTTTATTTTTTGAGACACTATAGTACTTGGAATTGCTCCCTTGATTACCTTTTTGAATTGTTCTTTATTGGTGTGTAGAAAGACAACTATGCAACTGATTTTTGTTTGTTGGTCTTGTAACTTGCACCTTTTCTAAGTTGGCTTATTAGCTTCAGTAGCTTTCTTATGCATTCTCTGGGATTTTCTATATATGGGATCATATTTTCTGCAAGTATCATTTTACTTCTTTCTCTCCAATTTGGATGTCTTTTATTATTTTTTTCTTGTCTAATTGCTCTGGCTAGAACTTCCAGCACAATGTTGAATAACAATGGTGAGAGCAGGCGTCCTTGTCTTCTTCCTGATCTTAGGGGAAAAACTTTGTCTTTCACCGCTGAGTTAGCTGTGGGTTTTTCGTATGCCCTTCATCATGTTGAGGAAATTTCCTTCTATTCCTAGTTTTCTGAGTGTTTTATCATGAAAGGGTGATAGATTTTGTCAAATGCTTTTTCTGTATCGAGATGATTGTGTAGTTTTTGTCCTTTGTTTTATTAATGTGTTGTATTACATTGAATGATTCTTGTGTGTTGAACCACTTTTGCATTCCTGGGATATATCTCACTTAGTCATGGTGTATAAGCCAGCCCTAGTGGTCTACTGGTTAAGATTTGGAGCTCTCACTGCCGAGGCCCAGGTTTATTTCCTGGTCAGGGAACCAAACCACTGATCTGTTGATTGTCACACTGTGGCTGCCACATGTTGCTGTGATGCTGAAAGCTATGCCACCACTATTTAAAATACCACCAGGGTCACCCATGGTGGACAGGTTTCAGCAGAGCTTCCATACTAAGACGTGGAAGAAGGACCTGACCACTCACTTGGGAAAACATTGGCCGTGAAAACCCTGTGAATAGTAGTGAAGCATTGTCTGATACAGTGCTGGAAGGTGAGAGTATGGTGCAAAAAGACCAGGCAGGGTTCCCCTCTGCTGTGCACAAGGTTGCTAGGAGTTGGAATTGACTTGATGGTTCTAACAACAACATGGTGTATAATTCTTTTTTTTAAAATAAACTTTAATTTTTAGAACTTTTTTAGGTTCACAGTAAAATTGAGTGGAAATTACAGAGGATTCTCATATACACCCTGCTCTCACACATGCACAGCTTACTCCACTATCAGTATCCTGAACCAGAGTAGTACGTTTGTTGCAGTTGATGAATGTACGCTGACACGTCATTATCACCCAAAGTCCATAAGTTTACATTAGAGTTTACTCTTGATGTTGTATATTCTGTAGGTTTTGATAAATGTATAATGATATGTATGCACCATTGCAGCATCATACAAAATGGTTTCACTGCCCTAAAAATCCTCTGTGTTTCAGCTATTCATCACTCTCTTCCCCCTAACCCTGATAACCCCTGGCAACCACTGATCTTTTTACTGTTCCCATAGTTTTATGTTTTCCAGAATGTCATATGGTTGCAATCATAGCCTTTTCAGATCAGCTTCTTCCACTTAGTAATATTCAGTTAAGTTTTCTCTATGTCTTTTCATGTCTTGATAACTCATTTCTTTTTTTTTTTTTAAAGATTTTATTTATTTATTTTTTTCCCCCAAAGCCCCAGTAGATAGTTGTATGTCATAGCTGCACATCCTTCTAGTTGCTGTATGTGGGACACGGCCTCAGCACAGCTGGAGAAGTGGTGTGTCGGTGCGTGCCCGGGATCCGAACCCAGGCCGCCAGTAGTGGAGCGCGCGCACTTAACCGCTAAGCCACAGGGCCGGCCCAGATAACTCATTTCTTTTTAGCATTGATTAATATTACGTAGTCTGGATGCCCCACAGTTCATTTATCTATTCACCTACTGAAGGACATCTCAGTTGCTTCCAAGTTTTGGCAATTATGAATAAAGCTGCTAAAAACATCTGCGTGGACATAAGTTTTCAGCTCATTTGGGTAAGTACTGAGGAGTGTGATTACTGGCTCACATAGTAAGAGGATGTTTAGTTTGTAAGAAATCACCAAATTGTCTTCCAGAGTGGCTGCGCCATTTTGCATTCCCACCAGCAATGAGTCAGAGCTCCTCTCGCTCCACATCCTTGTCAGCACTTGGTGTTGTCTGTGGTCTTGATTTTCGCCATTTTAATAGGTGTGTAGTGGTATCTCACGGTTGTTTTAATTCGCATTTCCCTGATGACATATGATGTGGAGCATCTTTTCA